ATGAAAGAGCAGGACAAGCTAGAAAACACTCTCATCACCAACAATGATAGAATGAAACCTTCCTCTTTCTGGTAGCTGGAAACATCCAAACTGAAATGTGTCTGTGGTCTCAACCCAGTCTGTGATGGGCATGACCCTATAGCACAAAACTAATGCAAGTTCTCCACAAATTCCTTGTAAACAGCTGCCAACTCACAGACCACAATGATGTCTGCTAGGGGAAGCTAAAATATTACATTGGTTCAATTCTAAAATGAGCTTTGTAGCCTGATGAAAGTTTAGATTTGGCACTAACATCCAACAAGTCGAAAATTATCCAAACAAAACTCAGTAAGTCATCAAATAGCTCCTCAAAAAGCTACAGTATAACCATATAAAAATATTTGCAGTGTGTAAAAAAAGTCCCTGAAAAATTGTCTATTTTAAAAGCAACCTACAGCTTTCAAGACTTTGAATTTCAAGGTTTGCACTCATGTAACATTACTCTGATCATTGCTTCTGGTTGTCCACTCAATGTGTGGCATGAATGGTACAAAAAGAATGGAGGTTACCAGGTTTGGGTAAGCCATACAATTCCTGAACTCCATTCAGGCAACACTTGAATATATTGTACTTGCACCTGTCCTTGTATGATTCTTTTCAAAGGGAATGCATTTGATATAGTTTTGCAGTCAGTAAACATATTTGGCTTGAGCCCTTTTTTAAAAAAAGGGAAACTATGGGATAATGTGGCGTTTGATCTTTGACAAGTCACTATGTGGCTGAAAGTTAAATTTATTCTGGCAGTTTTTTTTGCCCCAGTTAGTAAGTCTATTTATCCTATTTTTGTCTCATTTTCAAGGTCACTGCAGAAAATGTAAAGCTCTCGCTTGAGTTTGAAAAAGGAGCATAATGCAGATATTAAAAATGTTAAGATTGAAAATCACATTAAAATTCACAAACCACTTCAATGGCACTGACATGTATTTGGACATGGTAACTAAAAATGCAAGTACGTTACACTACATGGGAAGTTCATCTATTTTTTCAAAATGAACATATCAATAGTTAAACAAAGATGTAAATTTAATGTTCACTCATGGAGTTTAACCAGAGATTGCACTCATTCGCATTCTCTCTCCTTCTCCCCTCAGCCCTGCCATCTACACTGATCAGCAAAATTACTTTTATAGAAATTAAATGCCAGCAGGATTAGAAAAGTTACCACCTCAAGTGATGTCCTACAACTCATAATTTCAAGCAATTAAATACATTGGACATTATTGTAAATCTACATAATGTGCAACAAAGTATTATGCTTGGAATTTGCACTTAGCAGAAATCTTCATCTATTTTAATTCAGTGGATTCTTCTTGGCGTTTTATTACTGAAATGTCATATTCCTTCCTCGTCAACCTCCCATCTCCTCNAAAAAAACATTGCACGCAATTTATCTAATTTGAATACATAGCATTTCTCTGAAATAGTCCATTTAAATTGGAATACAATATCTGAGTGTTTTACTCTGAAGTTGCCAATATTAATTCATGCTTCAACAAGAATTACTTCACATCAAAATCAAGGTATTTGCCACGTTAGCCTACAAACTACAATCACTGCAGTTCACAAGAAAAATAAAAAGAGGTTCACGATACATCAGTGACATGAAAGGCACAATATCAAATGCAAAACACAATTTGATTGCTTTATACAAAGGGTCAACTAACTGGCCACACACTGCTCCTGCCTACATCCAAAACAAAAAAAACAAGTGATGAATATTGGGAAAGTGAAATACATCAGCTGACAACAAAACTATTTGAAGATCATGAGGAAGCATCGCTCAATTATTTTTCTGAATGAGTTTTTATCCAACCCTACATTTTTTCACCTTCAACAAAAAGTAAGGTTTTCTGGTCCACCCTCCTTATTCTTTCCAATGGCCAGTTTACTTGAATGTAACCATCATTGACTATCTTCAAATCCAACATGATCTCTGAAATTTCAAGTAAAGAAACAACAAAGCCACTCACTCTGCAATACAAATCTGCACAGCTCCCTTAGGAAGAATCTGCCTGTTCATTTTATCAAGTGGATAAAGTATTGGAAGAAGTTTGTTTTTAAAGTCTCACTTGTCCAGCCATTTCATGATTTTGAAATTGTGCTCTGAATAAGTAGAAATATACCAGTTTGCATTTTATCTACTTTGTCATTTGAAAAAACATTGAACCCATCTCTTCTCAACCTTCACAATGTTGAAAAGAGAGTAATCTTCATTCCCTTTGCCTTTCTTTGTGGTTATCTGTATGCTTTGTTGCTTACTATAGAAAAAAATCAAGCTTTTTTTTAAAATAAGGGAGGGAGGTACGAAGGTCAAGGTCCTCTTAATAACAACACCAAACTTTTCCACAATGTGCTGCCAATTCCAATTCAAAAGAAGCTGCCTGCATTATTCTGACTCACAAAGAATTTAGAAATATTCCCAAATGTTTACAGTGGATTCTCACAATACAGCTTCAGTTGTTTAGCTTCTAAAACTATAACATGACAGCATCGGGTTTATCCAGTAAATGCTATTTACAAAGCATTGTCCATCACTTTTCATTCTTACTTGTGCAGCAATGGAAATTGATCAGAATTCTGAAACAACTTGGTAGTGAAAGGAGTGGAATGATTTGCTCTCAACTGGTAGTTCAAATGGCAATATTAAGCCCATCTATCATCATCCTTGCATTTGATATAACGCCTTATCACATCTTTGAGACGTCTCGAAGCGCTTCACAGAATATACTGTAAAGTGAATTCACTGTATATTTTGTGGGCAAAACGTGGAAGCCAATTGGGCACAGCTGTGTCCCACAAACAGTCATGGATTGAGTGACCAAATTATTATTGTTTTTCTTATCTTGAAGGATTATCATCAGGTGGGTGGAGTAAGGAAACTTGCCCAAGGTTTTGCCCTGCTGGGAATCGAACCCAGGTCTCTCGCTTGTGAGGCAAGTGCTAAAACCACTGAGCTACAGGACTCCAGTATAACTCAGTGGTTAGAGCAACCTCCAGATAAATTGGTCATTCACTTCAGGGTCAGGTGTGGGGCCGAGCTGGTGAAATGATTGTCATGTTTAGTGGGTTTGACAGTAATTACTGCCAACACTTTGCCATGAGGTGTTAGGAATAAAAGTTCCTCTCTGTAATGTAATGCAATGACTAGCTGGAGCATTGACACTTTCTGTCAGGAGCCCCTCCACATAAATAAGCCAGTTTAACTGTTTATTTTCCTCACTCTCAATTATACTTTGTGTTGATCATTCAGTCTCTATTAAGTACAACAAGCCACAACACTGGCCACCTCTCCCCAGTTAGTCATGATTGTCAGATGTTCAAACACACCTAATGTAAAAGGTTTTGCTACAACCCTCGAAACTAAATCAGACTCTTTCTTACCAATTGTGACTTACATTTCTCAAACCCAAATGTCATGATGTTAAACATATTAAGAATGTGGCATGTAAAATGCACTCCAGTAACAACTTCTGCCATAGACAAAGTGCTCAGTATGTTATTTTCAGTATGCCTTTGTTCTAGATTGTTGATTTCCTCTGAGGAAATCAATGTACGTTCCAGAATAATTAGTTCAACCCAGAAATGTTGTCTGAGTTTCACAAGCAATTTGCATACAGAGGATTTCTTGGGAGAAAACTCAGTTTGTCATGGGTGCTTTAGCCATCAGGCATTATTGGGTGTTCGTGTCATGAGTGCTTTTCAAGCACCATATGTATCTAAACAAGTTCCTATTTGTTAAATGAACTATTCTGCAAATAGGATCTAAAAGGCAGAGTTGCAGGCTCCCCAAAAGGCTTAAGATTTTCAGATAAAATAGGAGCACCGATTCAGCATAAAACCTCCACACATTTAACAACAACAAGATTCCATTTATAAAGCGCCTTTCACGTCAGGAGGACGTCATTTAAAAATTTAAAAACATTTAAAAATTCTAACGGGGCTTAAACAGGAGGGTGGGTTCCAGGTAGCAATTGGCAGTTATAGTTTTCGCTCCTCAGGAAGGGTGATGATGATTTGCTGGTCCGAGCTGTCACTCACCTAGATGTCAGGCTCCCAGGGTGCTCCAGAGCCATTTACAGGGGCTCTTGGGAAATGTCCTGGTTTCCCATTTAGCCAATGCACCTTCTGACAAACCTTGGCTGCAGAGGGCCAAGATAAGATCAGTTAATTCAGAGAAGGCTGGGGACTGAACCAAGATCCTTTCCAGCCTGCAATGCTCAGCTAGTTATTGAATAAACTCATTAAGGCATCACTACAAATTCATTTAAAATGTATTGCAGAGCTGACCTTCCATGCTCCTGCAAGATTTTGCGATTAATCTATGAAATTTACTGTAACCAAACCTAAAATACCTTCACACGTCTTTTGCATATCGTTCCCCAATGAAATGGTCAATTAATCTATTCAGCAAAGATAAGATGACAAGGTCATTTAAACTACAGCTCTTCAATGATCACAAGCTGTCTATAGAGATACTCCAACTTAGCAACAGTTCCATAGATAAGAGCTTTAACATTCAATTTCCTTTCGATAAAACATTGCAAAGAAACTTGAGCTTATGTAGGCTTTCTTTCGCGTTACATTATGACACTTCATAACTTCAGACAAAATGTTTGGCATTTCCCTTCATGTTTGACCGACCTTACCATGTGCACCCTTCAAACATCCATTTGATATGCTCTTCCTCAATAAGAATTTCCATTTTATAACCCAATTCTGACAAATCAGATGAAAAACTTTGCCAATTGATTTCCATTACAAAAATAGATTCTGGAAATGAATGCCAGTAAATAAATAAAATTTAAACATTCATGTCTGTGACTACGCAATTATCTGCCAGTAAAAGACGAACATTGAACATATGGTACACAATTCCTGGTCATTTCAATTCTCAACAACCATGCAATCCACAGTACTGTAGTTTATGAGGAGAGTTGCATAAATTGCTCTTTTCTAACCTTGCGGCAGGCTGTGTTGCAGATGCGGCATTTTGTCAGCACTGACATGTTTCCAGTCAAAGTCATCCTCCCAATCCTGTCGATATTCACATGCCTCCAGGCCATCATCAAACGTACAGCCTCCTGTGGGGGTAAAATAATTGATAAATAATTTTAAGATAATGAAATCAGCAAAAGAGGACGAAAAATTAAATCTTCACAAGTAGACGTGGTATATTTGAAACCTTAAAATCACAGTTTTGATCTAAACAGACTGAAAGCTCTGTATATACAATTACTCTATTTTGTCAAACTCGGTTTCTTCAGTGAATCTTATTCATTGCAGTGTAACACTGAAATCGATATGCACTTATCCAAAGGTTACTAATCCAACGAGGATCTCTTCTGAACTGTTCAGAGAAAAGGCATCTCACTGCATGGATGTCAAAACTTTTACCAAATAGCACTGAACTTTCACTGTGTTACTTTGATTCAGGTGTTAGAATATTTTCTTCATTAGTATTCAGTATTTTCTTCTCATCAGCCAAACGATTACTAAATTGTTAAATTATTACTTTCGTTAACAAATGGAAATTTCAGTATACGAGGAAATCTTGCAATTCAGCAGACTCGAAACACTAAACTTCAACTCAGCACCTCAGCTGCCCAGGGTATTTACAATTGTACTGTCACTTATGGTATCTGATGGAAGTTGAAGCTATGTATATAAATAAGTGATCCCAGTTCACCACTTGTATTTGTCAAATGAATCTTATTTTGTTTCTTTAATGGAAACAATGCAAACTACAGTTTGGAGATTTCTACAGCCTAGACGGTGGCTTTCATTTTAGAACTCATATCATGATAACTAACCATAATCAATCCATGAATATGGTCAAACTTGATCACAACACATACCATGTCTTCAACACATCATATATTGATCTGCTGGACATTAGTGAGGCCTGAAAGGTTTTTCTAGTGAGAAAGCCTAGTTCATCTTTGTATTATTGTATCTAATGCTTTTAAAATAACTTGCTCAAAACAATTTCACATTTTGGAAAAATAGTTAGAAATGGGGTCCAAATGACCTTGATGCTTTCTCACAACTCTGACATTGAAGTAGGTCAGCACAAACTGCAGATATTTCATTGCCCTGTTGTCTTGAATGCAGTAAAACACAAACTGGTTTACAGACATCGATTTTGTATTGAATTATAATGGAGTAAAATAGTTAATTACTACAGTGCATTCTCAGCTTTAAGATTTCTAATCAATCTTAATCAATCAAGGAAGTTGTAACCAATTGGCACTGCAATTCCCAACGTAACTTATGTTTTTGTTTGGGTGAGGGAAGCGGGGGAACTGGGTGCTGCTGTAACTTATGTGGACAAATCTTTTATTATCGTGTACATTGTCCAAAACCCACAATTTACTGGCCATCATGTACCTTGTGAATGTGCAACCATAATAATCTATATAAAACAGAAAATCTGGTGATTTTCTGGAAATATACTTTATAGTACAATAGTATCTGACAAAAAAGACAAATTTATAGTATTACTATACCTTACACCACTGAAAGGATTCGCAAACACAAAAAAACTGGGATAAATAGCATGATACAAGTACAATTTGGACATTGCATGTCACAAAGAAGTTTGAAAGCAATTTTGCTGTTAGGTTGAAATAGTGTGATCATTTAGATTGGGGCTATAATAACCTGCAGGCAGTTGACAGCACATCACAACAAATTGTACAGCTCTGGGGAAAATCATTTTACCCAGCTAGTCACTGCATTGAGATGCTTATTTGAATTCCGTTCTGCAAGTTTCACGCAGAAGAATGTATTTGTCTGATGCTCAGGTATTCACAAGGCAATTAGACCCAAAGAAAAACATTGTGAAGCAATTTCACAACGCCCTGCGTAGCACATTTCAAAAGACAGATTTTTTTTAATATGGTAAAAGAGTAGTGAAATGAAATGAGTAGGTGCAATGATTACATTTGTCAGGAGAACGTCCTACGGCGCTGGACAGTCAAGGATTTGAACCCGAGATACTGGGAGGGGGGGGGGCGGGGGTGTTGGGGGAGAAACAGAGTGAAATTCAAAGTCTTGGACGTCTACATTATGTGCTGATTTTAGTGTTAAACATGGAGGATCCATATTTCACCAAAAAAAACTATAAAGATCAGCATGAGCAGATGAGAACTGATCCTAGTAGGATGAACAACATCCACTTTCTGTTACATGTCAACAGCCTGAAACTAAAATCTGGAAAATTTAACAATTTGAAATCTGACAATTTACAACTTGTATAATGAGAACTAGTGTTTGTGAAGCTAAAAAGATGTACTCATTACAGACTTGTATAAACATTAATAACTTCTGTGTCACATCACGGTAGTTTTATTTGCAATTATAGGGCAGTCAGTCACTGTAACAGCACTAGCGACATGTCGTTATTTGGACAAGCTGAGCCACTTTCCAGCAAATTATTTCAAAGTCGTTCCCTTTACAGCCATTGCTACCATCCATTACATTGGAGCAGTTACACAAAACACATCTACTGTAATCTGTGCACCACATGAACATCATGGAGTTCAGCCAAGAGCATGAAGGAACATCTTGTGGCATGCAAAGTATAAATGTGGTATGTAAAGTATAAGAAACCAGTGATGGCTACAACGCCTCCTGGGATTTCCCGAACTGTTAAACTTTAGATATTACTCTTTTGTATGTGAAAATGTGTTGACATGTATGAAACAGAGTTTGCTTTAAATGCTGCACATTTGTCAACTGTACCATTTAACGCAATTAAATTGCCTTATTCAGCAAAACAATCATGTTAAAAAACTTTCATTAATGGGCGTTTAACGTACGAAAAGTGACACATAATGAACAACCTTTCCATTTTCCTGCACATAATGCCACAATAGACAATAAGGAAATCCTAGAGTTTTGTAATGGGCCTGCCCTGTAGATTATAGTGGTTGGTTTGAATACTACAATTAATCATGATTCAGCTTGTCTATGCTCTTCCAATTCTACTTGATTCTATGTGGGAGGAAAAGCCACTAATAAGATTGCAAGATCAGTTAAGATGAAGAAGGCCCTTCAATCCATCTGATCTCATCTTTTCAAAAGAGCCTTCCCCATTTACCTTTCCTCCCATCACAGCATCAAGCTGCTTCTTAAATTAGTCCACTATCCTGGCCTCTTCCTATCAACCTGTTCCAGGGATTCAACTCACAAGTATTCATGCACAATTAAAAAAAACTTAAGTGTAAATTTTGCAGATAAGAAACCTTGTGTGAAAAATGCAAGTCTGGCTCATGCTTCCTTTTGATACACTTGAAAAGATTTTTGTAAAACGATTTGGCAGGTGGTATGCTACTTCAAGGGACCAAGTGCTTTAATCAGTTCTTTGTCTACTGTTCAAGCAAAGAAAAATTGAAAGGTTGATGGAAATTGTTTTTTCCAAAAGCACAAAGGAATTTTATTCATCGCCATAAATATGCAGGAAGTAACAAACAGCAAGTAAGCTAGCATTAGATTTTTTTTGCTGACATTTCTATAAAAATTAAGGTTGCAAGTTTGATTCTTTGTCTGTGCTCACCAAGGGAGCAATTAGTGCACTGCAATAGATCTTAGGTAGTGAACTCTGTTAGATAATGCACGTAAGTGGACACAAGGTTAAGACAGTTCAGGTTCAAATGTTGTGCCGTGTGCTGTCTAATAGACTGGCAACAGTCCAAGCTTATAAATAGGCAAGGTACAGAAGGGCTGCCAGCATCAGTTGAATCATACACTAAGTAAGACTTAGTAATTTCAGAGGAGAAAATTGGCCTTAAAAATGCAACTGCATCCCTTGTGCAAGTTGCAGGTCCATGAGCATGAAGCAAAAGAACTGAATAAAAAAATTTCAGTGGATCTTTCTGCAACTGAACTTCAAGGTTCATACAAATTTCAGTTTTGCATACACAAGCTCAGAATGTTATGTCAATTGTGTTCATTTCTATGCTTTTCACCACTTTAAAAATGAAGGCATTGTAAAGTGAAAAGCAAGGATGTCTGACTTGCGGCCTGCATGCTACATCACATCTTCAATACGCAGTGGGCCTTACAAAGTCCTGGGAGTTATGATACGTGACAAATCCACGGCTTACATCAATATTTAATCCCAAACTTAAACAAATAAGCACTCAATAACTTTTATATAGAGTAAAATTAAAGATCAACCTGGTGAAATGTCTTGGCTCTTCCAAATGGAAATTTTAATTCTATGCATTATATTCTTATGCTCGATTAGTTTGTATAAATAAATCCAATATATTTTATAAAACAATCAACGTATTTCGCTAGTTGATTCAATGGAAGAGATATGCAGAGAGGAAGAAAGCATTTTGCCACACAGTTAATTCATTAAACTCTACACTCACAGGGAAGGTTAGGAAAAAGAAAATCATATATCCATATGTCAAAAATAAGTTTGATCAAACAAATTCAGTGACCCTATGAATAAATAACTAAGCAGTTAAACTATCATTAAAACAAAATTTCCTTGGTGCCCTTCACAAATCTAGACTTTTTTTCTGGGGGATTGTTGGCCAGGACATTGGGAGAAACTCCTCGTCTTTAATTATAGTGCCATATATAGCAAGATAGAGTACTGAGATGCTCTCCTGCGTGAAGGGTGCTATATAAATGAAAATTGTTTTTTATATACAGGAAAATCTGAATATTTTATGACCAGAAAGACAGCTGGATCCATCTGGTAAGTCCTAAACCAGTAGCCACTGTTGCCTTCAATAAAGGAGTCAAACATAAAATCCTGTCTAACTATCCTAACCTTTTTTAAAGTTAGGTTCAAAATAGGTTATTCTTTTACAATAGCCAACAGAAACAGAAAAGAGAAGGTTGACCCCCTCTCGTCTCATGATGGGCTGCCACAGTACAAAATAATCCATCTTTCTTTCAGCTGCTGCTCATTTGCAGCATTTTCTATCTAAAATCAGCACAGACAAAGGTTGGCCCATTTCAAGGCTATAAAATGCAAGAACACTGATGTACACCTCTTCACTGTTATACTGCAAAGTTAAAAAATGTAAGGTTTATTCAACACCAGTGAATGTCTGTATGA